GGCGGGCTCCTGTGAGCCGCCAGCCTGGTCCTGGGAAGACGTGGATGGCTCGGTAGCAGCAGGTGGCCGGCTCATCCCGTGCCGGGTGCAGGGTCTGCTGGCTGGGTGCTGGCAGGCTTGCAACTGGCATGGGCACCGTAGCCAGAACGTGCCCCTTTAAGGTCTCCGGGGCCAGGAGGGGGGCAGAAAAGTTTCCCTGGTTGTGCCCAGAGTGGCCACCAGAGCAAGCTGGGAAGGGCTAGCCTCCCACTAGTTCGAATTAAGGGTCTACACAGCCCTTAATTCGAACTAGTAAGTTCGAACTAGGCTTAATCCTCGTGGAATGAGGATTACCTAGTTCGAACTAAGCGCTCCGTTAGTTCGAATTAAATTTGAACTAACGGAGCGCTAGTGTAGCGCCTTTGAAAGTTAGTTCGAACTAACGACTGTTAGTTCGAACTAAGTTTGTAGTGTAGACATACCCTTAGGGACTAATAAAAATTCATTATTTTCCAAATAATAGAATTTTATTAAGAAATAAAACGAATACAAAGGAATTTCTGTGCAATTTAAAAGCAAATACATTAAAAATTTAAAAAATAATGGAAAAGAGCCTAAAAAGAAAAAACATTCATGACCATTTACCTACACAGAGCTGGAATGGCTTTCATAGATCAGGCTATGGGAGCTGTGGTTGTCCCCTTGGGTGGAGGAACAGGGTTAGGGATGTGGTCCCTGATGCCACAGGGAATGCTGAGGGATTTGTAGAGGTGTGCTATAATGCATTTCTCTCACCTCTTGCAAAAGGAGGCAAGTCTAAAATTGCTGAATCTACATGTTCACAAGAATCTGCCACATCTGTGTTTGCTGCCAGAGAAGTCCCAGTTCTGGTGCATCTCCCTTTCCAGCTTCTGAGCCTTTCTCCTGTCTGCCCCAGGCACCTTGTTCCCTGTCTGATGCAGCACCGGGAGCGGGCAGGGGGGAGGAGGGGAGAACAAAGACTTGCCAGGTCCCTGGGCAAAGTGATGGAAGGCAGCCAGGACTGCCACTGGAGGGAAAAAGGAAGCAACTGTCCAGGGGCCCAGCGATATAACAGGGATTGGAGCTCCTGAGTCTTTAACTTGCTGCCAGACCACTGTGCAGCATGCTCTGGGTAGCACTAAGGGCTGGAGGGTACATGTTGAAGTCTAGGCAGTGCTGAGGGCCAGCTGCCTCCATCCCCACTCCTTTCGCTCCGTCTGGGAGCGAGGAGCAGGCCTTTCCCACCTGCCTTGCTCTGGGGCTCAGAAAGGCTGCTGGCCCTGCTAGGCCAACTCCATGCTCCTGGAAGGGGTGGGCCTGGGGCCAGCCAGGCCTCAGCTCCATCCAGAGCACACCGTGCCCTCCCTCCTTAAGGCAGCCATCAGAACTGTTCAGAATGCACCATGGTGCTTTGATCAAAATTTAAAGGGCCCAGGGACTTGACTGCTGCTACTGCCAAAGTAGCAGTGATGGCAGCCAGGGACCCTGTGCCCTTTTGAATTTCCAGGATCTCGAGCAGTTGGCCACCCCCTATGCAGTCTTCTCTTTCAGAATCTCACTGAAGACGTACGCCTTCCTGAATCCTCTTCTTTTTCCTAATCTGGCTCTGGCATTCTGCAGGTTTGAAAGGGGAACCCCCCAATAGCAATAAGCTGAAGATTAAACACACAGAGACACCATTGTCTGTATAGTTACAACTGAAAGTGAAAGTTAAGATTCAGAACTCCTTCCCTGGCTCCCCCAAAGTTTTAAACAAGATATAAATATTTTGTTTAAATATTTTTAAATATTTAAAGATATTTAAGCTGTGAGTCTTGTGCATGGCACCACTCACAGCTCCTGCCATAGTGAATTCAGCCACAAGGAGTGAAAGAAATGAGGCAGGAATTGCTTGTTTTCATGACATTATGAATATAGGGCAGTAAGGGGCAACCTAGGCTAGTGAGTAGGCCTCATGACTGGCCCTCCATCTCAGTGGGCTGCAAGATTGTCATATCAAGATGGTGTCCCAGGATAGGGTAGTTTTGCTAACTGTGCTTGCATAACTAGAAGTTGTGGAGTGTGCCGACTGAGCAGTGCTTCAATTAGATGCAGAGGGAATTGCACGGCTCTCACAATGCTGCGTGCAATCCACATGCACTTCACGGGCCCTTGCTTTAAGTGTGCTCCCTCTGCATCCATCCTCCACAGGAAGTGGCAGTCAGCCGACGGTCAGGGCAGTGTGTGTGTGTGTGTGTGTGCTGAAAAGAGGTTTAATGTCCGTGACTTTACTGCTAGGACCGGGAGCCCGTCCTGACAGATGCCCTGGGCCTATAGAAAAAACTTATTACATCTCAGATTTTAGCTGCTAGAATACAAGATTCCTTCACAGCAGGCAGTCTAGGAAAGACTGAGAGATGCCCCAACGGATCTGTCACCTGGGAGTGACACAAATCCAAACGCCCAAGCTCTTCCTATACCTGTCCCTTATGACCGGCTGAAGTTCTTTTAAATTGTGCTTGGTTCTGTTACAGCAACTGAAGGAGTCAGGTTAAAAACTTAAACAGTTACAGGTTTATTAAAAAGACTTATAAAAGCATATGGTTACAATGGCTATTGCTCTCTTTCTTAACTGCTAGCAAATACAGATCTTATGGTTACAATGGCTATTACTCTATTTCTTAACGGCTAGCAAATATAGATTTAAAAAAAATAGTTACAAAGAAATAAAGATAGAAAATAGAAACAATGGTACCAAGTGACAGCTTAATCTTTAAAGAGCTCTAAGTCCATGGCTATGTCTAGACTGCAGGCTTCTTTCGAAAGAGGCTCTTTTGAAAGCATCTTTCGAAAGAGCCTCTTTCAAAAGATCGCGTCTAGACTGCAGGCGGATCTTTCGAAAGAGAAATCCGCTTTTTCGAAAGAGAGCACCCAGCGAGTCTGGATGCTCTCTTTCGAAGACGGCCTCTTTACATTGAAGAACGCCTTCTTTCGAAAGAGGAACTTTCGAAAGAAGGCGTTCTTCCTCGTAAATTGAGGTTTACCGCCATCGAAAGAAAAGCCGCGTTCTTTCGAAATAATTTCGAAAGAACGCGGCTTGAGTCTGGATGCAGGGGAAGTTTTTTCGGGAAAAGGCTACTTTTCCCGAAAAAAACCCTGAGTCTGGACACGGCCTATGTGTACACTTAAGACAAAGGACCACATCCAGGTACAATTTTTACCCCCTTCTGTGCCTCTTGACTCCAGCGTGTCAGGCCAGGGCTGGTCCCTCAATTCCTAGGAAAGACGAATACAAGGTGGGTGTCCCCTTGGAACCTCGGGAGGTCAAACACCAATCCCGACCAGCAGATAGATAGTAGATTGACACTCAGAGTAAATGTGCCGCTGGACCCATCTTTATACCCCTGGGGGCTTGTATCCTCTTTATTATCTTAAGATGCCAATTTGTACTGGTCCATTTTGTGGCGCATCTTTCAAAAAAGGGTTTATTTTCCAAAAGATCAGCATCTAGACTGCCGGGTTTTTTTTCAAAAAAGCTCCATTTTGAAAAAAGCGGCGGCCATGCTTATGCTAATGAAGCACGGGATATTTAAATCCCCGCTTCATTAGCAATTTCGACATACCTAATCTACATCTCTCTGTTGACAGAGAGGGGTAGTCTAGATGTACCCTCTTTGTGGTATTGCTACCTCTTCTAGTGTAAGTCAACGAAGAAAAAAGTCAATAGCTGTGTCCAATTAAGTTGGAGTTGCCATCAGGACACCATTGCAAGAGAAATACAATTACATACTTACCCTGAATTCTTTCCTCAGCACCAGGCTTGCCTGTGCTCAGCTGCTGGGACTGACTGGAGTGGAGTCTCAAAAAGGTTCTGTGAAGAGCATCGCTGGAACCTCTGCTCCTCTTCCTCCTCCTTCTCCACACTGTTCTCCTCAAAGCCCAATGGCTTGGGCTCCTTGGCAATGTTGGTGGCAGTACGTGGGGTGCTGGTGTGTTCTCTGCCAAGTATGGCGTGCAGCACTTTGGCAAAGTGGCAGGTCTGTGGCTTGGCAGTGGATCAAATGTTGGCCTTCATGGTCTTCTGATATGCCTGATGCAAGTCCTTTGCTTTCTCCTGGCATTCCTCTTCTTCTGCATCTCCCATGCAATGTATTCATAGATGTCCACATTTCTATGGCTAGTCTATAGCTGTGCTTGTGCAGCCTCTTTTCTCCCTAGAGGCCCAGGGGATCCAACATCTCCTGTCTACTACAAGCTGGAGCATGACTAGGGTATATGGCTGGCATAGTCAGCTGGGCAGTTACACAAAACAGTAGGAGCTGGTAGGTGTGGCCACCAAGCTGGACAATCAGTAAAATGGCTCCTGAGCAGTGGTGTTCACAGTTGTGACCAAAGCACTCAGTGTTGGGCATTGTGGGACAGCTGCTGGAGGACTATATTAGGATTAACATAAGAAATGCAATGTCCACACTCATGCTGTGTTGATCTCAGTACATTGATCATGGCTCAAATGCCACTCTAGGAGATGCAAAAGCGGCGAGGAGTCCTGTAGCACCTTATAGACTAACTGAAGTGTTGGAGCATAAGCTTTCGTGGGCAAAAACCCACTTCCTCAGATGCATCTAGGAGATGGTGTACTTGTCTTGCCATAACAGGACACTTACATTAGGAGGACACAAATTTAAATGTAGACAAATGCACAACCAACTCATTGTGGCTTGTATTAACCTAATTTTAGTGTAGATCTGGCCTAAACTGGAGAGATGAGTCTGCTGAAAGCCTGGAGCAATAGCTCTGAATGGTAACAACTGCCCCATTTGTTTCTGTGAGGCGTTATTGCAGATACCCGGTAATGATCATTTAAATGAACATTGTTAATGACTTCATTGGACATATAAGAAAGTGTGGATTTACCCTTCTCTCTCCCCACAAGCTGTTATGAATGTTGTCTTATTTTGGTGCCACAAGTGAGAGGCGTTTGGGAGATAGATCTGCTAATTTTTCTTGTTCTTTAATCAAGAAGGACCCAACCTCAATGAGCTCAGCAGAGCCCATGGGTATAGTCCAGTCCCATTGAGAAGAAGCCTAGCAGTTCACATGACCGACCATATTTGAAACATCTGAACAATCTATTGCGAGCGGCTTCTTATTTTGGAAGCTCACATGGGCAAGCTTCTTTCGTGGAAGCAGCTTGGAACCCCCTCGCCCCGAGTCATCCCTCAGCACAAGTATTGGACTATGGATTTAATCAAGGAAAAGGATAAAAAGCAAATGAACACATAAGCTACAATTGTGTTTTCATGCAATTGTCCCTAGAAATAAAAAATAGAAAACATGTAATGGACTAGTAAGCACCAAAGAGCTTGATTTCTACTGCATTATTCCAGTTACACTGGCATAAGCTAGAAAGGATGCAGTAGCCCCCTTCTTTCTAAATAAAATTTATTGAAAACTTTTCATAAATTATCATCTTGACTCTAATGATAGATAGTATTTAGAAGGTGTGAAGAAGATACAATGAATTTATTTCCTAAATATTTTGCTGGTCTTGGAAACTTTGATTTATATTTTTGTTCATTTTGGGGTTACATTTTTAAGGAAAAATTAGGATCAGGTCTATATGGTGATTATTAACTCCAAATAATATTCATTTTCTATGGACAAATTCTATGCTTAAAATGATAAAAAATAGTGGCGTTGAAATATATAATGTGCACCTGAGAATTTTACTGTTAAAAATGATGGGGCCCAACCATCAATTTGTGTAAATCAGTGATTTCAATGGAGCTATATCACTTTTCACTAGCAGAAGATCAATTTTGATTATTATGAATAGATTTACTTACCTGGAGCCCAGTTCAAATATCGGAGAGGACTGCTACCAATCCACTGCCATCCACTGTTGAGATTCAAACTGTTAAGTCCAATCCAAAGAGCAGAATCAATATTTTTAGTGATCTCTAAATTAAAAAAGAAATTAAATGAAACTCTGAACCAAAAAGTAGTAAAAATAGGAAACTTAAATTTCTCAGACAGAACCAGTCAATAAAAATACCACTTTTTCCATTATTAAACTATATAGATGAAAATTGGAACAGACTATATACGTGAGCATATCTGTGTCAAGGTTACTGAGATTTCTGGCTAACAAAAAGAATAAATTAACTTTTCATTTCAGTACTTGGTTAAGGTTGATGAGATCAAGATGACCAAAGCTTCTTTATTAGAGTAAGAACTGTTCCAAAATGATCCTGTGAGAGTGTCTATGGTTTAAACCAAGCAAAAAAGTTACAAACACAGTACATTAAAGAATCATCACTACTCTTTTGGTCCAGTTCCAAAAGGGAGGGATTAATTAAGGCTTTTTTTCATGGGCTTTATAACTATTCTTCAAGGAGCTTAAAACATTAACTCTATTAGTGTTATTGGAAGTTTAAGCATGGAAAATGCACCCATGTTAGGATAATTACCTTCATAAGTTCTAAAGATTACAGTAAATCTTTGGATCCTAAAGATTACAGGAAATTCCTGTGGATCAGACAATAGCTACTCCTGCACAGGAATTGGAGGAAGCATAGGATGTGGAGACAACCTTCCCACCAGGACCTGATGCAAAATCTAACCAGAATGTCATTTCTTGTTTTTTCTGGAATGCAAGATAGCACCAACTATTATAGTCAACTGTTATAGTCAATGTTATAGCCTATGCTTACCAAAAGGGTTATGGTCACTCTTCCTGTGTTGCAGGCTAATGGGGAGTTCATTCTTTTCAAATGAAATGTAATGCTGCTGCCTCACTGGAAAAGTTCTTCAGACTATTGAGATATACTTAAATCAGACACAAAAAATGAAGGATCACAGGGAGTGAAACCCCACTGACATCAATGCAAGTTTTTCCACTAACTTTAAGGCAGCCAAGATTTCACCTTGAGTTTTTATTCTTGATTATTTTGTTAGTTTACCTCTCAGGTATGTTTGCTCCTGAATCTCTGTGATACTTAACAATTCTGCATTCTGTTCTTGGCAGCTTTTCCTTGTGTGATGCCATGTTACAAGTGGCTGGGAGTTAACCTGATAGTGGAAACCTGTCAAAGAATCTGTAATCCAAAGTTTTTCTGTGTCACCTGGAAAGGGAAGAAACATATAAAATCTGTTAGAGTCTCCCAGAGTATGATATCAAATGTAAAATCCCATCAATTCTAAAGCAAAGGCAACACTAAAATCACAGGAGTTGAATTCTATTAGTGTATATTTTTATAGCCTTTTAAATTTTTTATATTTTTTGTAAGGGAGGGTGGATGTTTTAAATGCATTTTTTTGCTCACAAAATCTAAGATAATCTTAAACAGAGGTGAAAGGGGAAGGCTGAACTTTCAGATGAGCTATCATTTTTTAGGCAGATTCTGTCACTCATGCTCACCAATGCCCACAGGCAATTGCCTCTGATAATGGAGAAACAGTCAGGTTGAAGGATCTTGAGTTCCATTTCAGGCGCTGAAGGTGCGTGTGCTCTAGAGGGCACAGAGTCTTTTGCCCCCCAGCGTGAACCCTGAATCTCATGTCCTAATGCTGATGCCTAGATTCAGTCCCATTCTCCTCATTTAATTGGCCCAGTCCCCCACTCCTTAGGCCTACTGGTCCCAGTTCTAGTCTCCTTGCTGTAAAAGTCCTGTTCTCTCTCTCCAGACACTCTCTACCAGTTTCTCCCAGTCCAATTCACCCCCATCAGGCTTACGGTTGCCAACTTTCCTGACTGGATGCCAATCATGTCTGGTCCATCCAGGTGGGAAGATGGCAACCCCAAGCTCCAGATTTCTTTATCCAGCTCTTCCCAGTTCCCTCCACTACCCTCTGATGTATCCCCCATCTCTTGCCAGTCTCCAGTCACGTATCCTCATCCATGCTCCCTGTTCCTGCTGGCTCCCCAAGCCAGTCTCCTTCCCCAGTCTCCTTGTCCTTTCTAATTGTCCTCCTCTTCTTTGGCTTCTTATCCCAGGCTGTTAGCCAGCCTATCCCAGTTATCCTCTATGCATCCCGGCTCTTTGTTAGAGCTGTATTCCCTCCTGCACTTCCTTTCTCCTTCAACTGGCTGAAGTTACCTGTTTCCTTGCCCTACCAGTCCCACTCTCCACCTGCTCCTCATTCAGTCTCATTTCACCCATCATCCACTGTCTTCCTCCCTAAGCTGAATTCACATCTCTGATTGCAGTGTCGAAGTGCCCTTTATTATCTACATTTATTCTTTCATCTGTAAACACATTGACCAGATCAGAAATGAGAACCCAGCCTAATGTTGCAGGGCAGAAAAAGGGAGCAACTCCTTGCTCTCGTAGGCTATGTCTAAACTGTAGGCTTCTTTCATCCATACTGCAAAAGTGCATCGAAAAGTGAACGTCCAGAGCGAATAGATACTCTCTTGCATGTAAGCTGTGATTGTTATGGACGGGATGGTCACCAGGGCACCTGTGCTTTTTCCTATTTCCTCTTCTTGCGAAAGAATTCCCTCTTCCCCGTCCACACATGCCTCTTTCTGAAAAAGCTCTTTCGCAAAAAGGCTTCTTCCTCGTAGAATGCCAGAAAAAACCCAAAGAGGGTAGAGAGACCTAGATAACTGCTTCCATGAAAAAAATGGCTCCACAAAGCAATTGTACTATGGGTGATCACTGCACTAGAAGTTTAATGGCAAGGGAAGACAGGGAAAGTGATTTGCATAACAATCAATAATCTGGTTGTTGGACATTCAGGATTAAAATTCCTGTCCTCTCACTCTCTGTACATGTTACTGCTATCTTACTATGCCAGGGGTGGGAAACCTTTTTTGGGTCAGGAGCTGCTGGACTCACAGAAAAAATCAGCTGGGGGCTGCACACAATGAGAAGCAAAAAAATGAACCCTCACAAATGCGGCTCCCAGCTGAAAAGAAGAAAAAACACTCCTGACATTTCCCTCTCACACCAGAGCCCAGGTGGGACCAAGCTAGTGGATTTTGTGTGCTTCAGCCCCACAGGGGGCCTGGAGTGCAACCTCGGCCCCCCCAACGCTGAGGAGGAGCCTCAAGCCTAAGGAGCCAGATCCATGCAAATTGTGGGCTGCATCTGGCCCCTGGACGTTAAATTCCCCACCCCTGCACTAAGCCCTGTGCCTTCCCTGCATCCTGTGTGGATCTGCAACTTTCCCTGCAAGCTGTAGGTTAATAACAAAGAAAGAGTAGACAGACTCTACACCAAAGAGTATCAAAATGCCTAACAACAAAGTGAAGACCGTTAATATTTACTCTTTAGAGGAGACCCACAAAGGGAACTTACCCAGCAGCTGCAAAGCACTGTGCAGGAGAAAGAGGACAATAAGCCATGTGGAGGGAATCATGGCAAATGTTTCATTCCCTTCTTCCTTTCCACTAAGTGATGAATTACAATTACTTGCTGTCAAAATTCCTTTTGTAAAGTGCTGGGTGGTAGATCCTACTATGTTTTGAAAGGCTGATAGATGAGAAGAAAGCCCTGGGCTCTAAATGAGGAAATATCCTGTCACATGTGGCATTCTGAAATAGGAATTCACAGAACAAACTTTGCTTTTGAAAGTGAATTACTCTTTACTGAGAGCAAAGTCTTTTCCCATGGAAATGCAGGTGATAAACAAAGTTTGACAATTTAGTGCAGTTTCCTGGGAGAATGTTAGCATTACAGAAGGATCATGTGTTGTATTTTCAAGCCAATGAAATCTCTATAGATATTAGGGAGCTAACAGAGTCAAGCCTGCAGCAGAAACCAGAAACCAGCTCAGTTTCTACTTTTAAGTTCTATCCCTTAGCTATATCGTGAGAAAACAATTTCAGTATTCCAGGAAAATTGGTAGTAGCTCACATTCCACCTGTCGGGAAGGTAAGGAATGAACATTACAGCATTATGCAGTTAAATTCACCCTGCAGGACAAGCAGAATTTTAACTGTGAAAGAAAAGATTGCTGAATTAGAATGTCAAATGTGCCAGCTTATTCACATAAGTGTACACATTTTGGTATCTGGCCAAAAGGTTTCTCGGAAACAGTGCATTTCAAAGGTAATTTCTAGCTTTCCGGTGTGGGGACTCAGATAGCACTTCCAAGTGCATTCTTCAGGAAAAGTCATACAATTTATTTAATTCCCTGCAGTCAAATACTCAACAGTTCTGCATGTTATATTGTTGAACTAGGGACTCTTCACACTACATTTGCTGGTGACAGATGTAGAAAGAGTAGAGTCTAACGGTACAGGTCAACCCTGATACCATAGTAGGTGTATGAGGACTAGACTTTGAAAACTTTTGTCAGACTACATTACTTTCTTGTCTACACAATGCAATTTATTAACATCACATTTTCAGTATAAACCAGATTAAACTAAATTGGAAAAAGGAACACTTCTAGAATCAGTACCCACATGGGATGCTATATAATTATACTGGAATAGTTATGCCAGATATATAATTTTTTTCTAGACCAGGGATGGGGAACATCTGACCCACAAGTCAGATGTAATTTCATCCAGCCTATGGCAAGTCTCCGCACCACAGGCTGGAAGCACAGATTTTTTATTCCCCCTGTGGGTCTGGACCTGCAATCTGGGAAGCTTCACATCCTACCCTCACCTGCAGGCACTGCCTCTACAGTTCCCATTGGCTGGGTACTGCAGGCAATGGGAGCTGTGGGGGTGGCATCTGCAGGTGAGGGCCATGCACAGAGTCACCTGTCTCCCTTTCTCCAGGAACAGGTGAGCTGCCTCCGAATCTGGAAGCTGTCAGAGGTAAGTGCCCCATATTCCCTTCTGTACCCCAACCTCCTTCCGCAGCGCTGAGTTCCCTCCTGCACCCCAATTCCCTCCCAGAGTCTGCAATCCTAACATCCCTGAGCCCACTCCCATGCTCCAAATCCTTGGCCCCAGATGAGAACTCCCTCCTATACCCCAACTCCCTCAATCCAAGCCCCAGCCCAGAGCTAGCACCACCAGTCAGAGACTTTGTCCCTGCTCCCTCATCTCAACCCTCTGCCCCAGCCTGGCCCCTCTACACCTAAACCCCTCATTTTTGGCCTTGTCACAAGCATAGGATTGCCACCTTTTGCAGCCGAATGCCATGCCATTCATGGCAATGGCATCTGGGACAGCAGGAGGACTTGGCAACCATAATCCTAAAGCCATGGGGAAACTGCAAGCATCTGCTCTCCTTTCCCCTCCCAATGCTGTGTGTGGCCTGTGACTGATTTTTCTGGCTGTCAGTGGCCCCTGATAGGAAAATGGTTCCCCACCTCAATCTAGACAAACCCAACCCATTTATTTCCTTTCATTAAAGTTAAGAGAGGCTAGCACATTCAATTATAAAAGATGTGAGATGTGAAATAACTATCTCAAGTACAGTAATATATTTATTTAGAAACTGAAGGGAAGCTGTAGTAGCTGTAAAACTCCTCAATTTCTGCTATTATTGTAATTGAGAGGCTTAAATATAAGAATTAGTCTGTCTGATTTGGCTACACTGCGAAAAATTCAAAGGGAAAGAAAGGCATTTCCTTAAGTAAGTCTGCAAGACCAATATAAAAAAAAGAGGAATTGAATAAATTGCTGAATGATAACATTTTATGGAAGCTCAGTATACAGTGAGTTGGAAATTAAAGACAAAGCTGGTAGAATTTCACCTTTTGAAATGATGACAAAAATAGCTCAATGTAACAAGCAAATTTAATATTGCCCATCCCCTCAACAACGGTCACCAGCATTCTCTAGAATATCTGCTTTGTCCAAGATTTTTCACTTTCTGTTAAAAGTTTTGCCCGTAAAGAACATTTGTTTAATTTCAATCAATATCTCTGTATTCATTAAGATGGGAGCTCATGAAATTGCACCATAACAGCATGCCAAACTCCCTTGTTTAGTTTTTTTAATTAAATCAGACACTGATTGCTATTAACTATTATTACTTAATAGTTATACTGTGACAGCTCCCTCAGGTGGGATTGCATTTGCTGGTGATAGATGTAGAAGGAGTTGGGACCCACTGTGCAAGGAACTTACACATACACAAAATGACCGTCTCTGCCCCAGAAGCTTCCAATCACAAAGACTGATAATATCCTCCAGACATATCTAGTGGAAAGATTTCAGAGAGGTAGCTAAGTTAGACTGTTTCAGCAAAAACAACAAGGAGTCTAGTTGCACTTTAAAGACTAACACATTTATTAACCTCACTTACAGACAGCCACCCAACCTGAGACAAATACTCAACACCATCTTCACACCCAACAACAGAAACACTAATCCAGGAACCTATCCCTGCAACAAACCCTATTGCCAGCTCTGTCCACATATCCATCCTAGTGATACCATCACAGGACCTACCTACATCAGCTATATTATCAAAGGCTCATTCACATGTACATCTACTAATGTACTATATGCCATCATGTGCATTGAACAAGCTGTACTGTCTCTACTCAAAAGAATAAGTGAACACAAATCAGACATTAAGAAGGGCACCATACAAAACCTCTGGGGGAGCACTTTAACCTTTCAGGACACACAGTTTAGGACTTGCAAGTTGCTGTTCTCAGTGGGGAAAAAAATCAAAACCAGACTGCAGTGGGAAACTTCTGAGCTGGAATTAATATGCAAATTTCATACCCTAAACCATGGGTGGGGAGTCTATGGCCCAGAGGCCAGATGTGGCCGCTGGGTTGCCTGGATCTGGCTCCCGAGGCTTAGGGCCTCGCCCAGTAATGGGAGGCCTGAACTGGCACTTCAGCCCCCACCGCCTCCCTTTAACTCTCAGCCCCCGACTGACTTTTCTGTAGGTCTGCAGCCCTCGACCCAAAAAAGGGTTCCCCACCCCTGCTCTAAACCAAGGATTAAACAGACACAGGGAGTGGTTCTCACATATGTAATTTCCTAATCAGGTACTCTCAGGCTACGTCTACACTACAGGCTTCTTGCACAAGAACTGTTTTGCGCAAGAGTTTCTGCGCAATAATTCTTGCGCAATAGTGCGTCCACATTGCCATGTGCTTTTGCGCAAGAGCATCCATGGCAGTGTGGATGCTTTCTTGCACAAGAAAGCTCTGATGGCCATTTTAGCCATAGGAATTTCTTGCACAAGAAATTCCTGTTGCTCGTCTACTCTACCTTCTTGCTCAAGAGCTCAAGAGCTCTTGAACAAGAGGGATTATTCCTTGTGGGGAGAAGAATATCTCTTGCGCAAGAAGCCCTATGTTCAGACGCTTTACTGTAAATTTACTTGCACAAGAATGCGCATGCAGTGTAGATGCTCTGCAAGTTTTTGTGCAAGAACGGAAGTTGTTGTGGAAAAAGCCTGCAGTGTAGACGTAGACTCACCTTCTCACCACAATTGGAGATAAGCCACATCCACGCTGATTTAATAAGTACTGATGTCACACTCTGTGTCCTTTTATCCTTCAGCATCTGAGGAAGTGAGTTGTAGTTCATGAAAGCTTATGCTCTAATAACCTAATAAATTCATTAGACTTTAAAGTGCCACTGGACTCCTTGGTTTTTTTCTAATGGAAAGAGAGTTTTTGCTTAACTACATACATGTACACATTGTCAGAATATAATTTTAGTATGTTGTAGCATAGCAAATATTAGACTCTTATGGGATTCTAATTACACCTGGGAATACTTTTTAAATATATAAACCAAACATGTACAAGATATTTCTAGTTTATTGAATAGCTGCACCACTGAAAAGAAATATGCATTTAGGGTCTTACTGTTGTTTCCAGCTCTACTCATTACTACCCACCACAGACTCTGAGTAATATTCAGTAGTTAACATTAAAGTTTGTCTTCTAAGGAAAGGGGAATAGATTACTGGGTCAGTGTTTAATTTAAAGTAAAGACTAGTTTGGCTCATGAACATCCTGAAAATGTTTCTGCAAGAAACATGCATAATCCAGATTTTCACCTTTTAAAATGTTTAAAAAAGGAAGAGGGATTTGTAATATTTTTCCCATTTTTAATGTCAAGTAAGTCCAATTTTAAACCATGTAAACCACAAGTGCCATAAAACTGCTTGTAAAGTAGAATAATAACTCTACCAATTTGAATACATTGCTTTGTATCTGCTACCATCATGTTATCATCCTGCAATACTGGTCCTTACCCTCTCAAACATGCTTGAAAGTTTCAGAGAGGTAGCTGTATTAGTCTGTAGCTGGAAAAACTTTAAAAAAAACAATGAATAGTCTTGCAGCACCTTAGAGACTAACAAAAATGCAGATGGTATCATGCGCTTTCATGGGCACAACCCATTTCTTCAGACGAATAGAGTTCTAAGGGTCCAGTTTTCAAATAAATAGCACAGAAATGGGATGTAGGAGGAAGGAGGAGGAAAAAAGAAGGAAAAAAGGGGGAAATAAATTGTCATCAATTAGAGTGTCCATGCTAAATTAAGCTGAAAGACAAACAAAGGGTACTTAGAGTGGTACTATTATTTTCAGCTGCATTTAGCATGGACACTCTAATTGACAATTTCTTTCCCCCCACCTTT